TGCCCCTGGGCCCTGTGCCGTGCTTGGGCAGGCGCTGCGGAGGCGCGCCGGGTGTGTGGTCGCTTGGTGCCGCTCCTTCGCGGGGCTGGGGCTGGAGGGGGTCGCGTTCAACCCTCGTACACGTGAGTGGGAAACATGCCCTCGCTGCTAGGCACTGTTTGCAGGCAGGCGCTGCCGTGGGTGACATCTTGGGTGTAAACTTGATTTTCCATGTGCATACATGTTTTTAGTGAGGTCTGAACCGGCTCGCTGTTAAATTAACAAGGAAAGCCGTCAGGAGTCTTTAATCTCTGCAGCAAATCAAATGTCAAATGTCTGTTACATCTCAAACAATTTACTTTTGTCCACAATTTAGGAGGTAGTAGAGAATGTCTTTTCGTGGAAGAGGAGGTGGAGGAGGAAGAGGAGGTGGCTTCAATCGTGGAGGAGGTGGCGGTGACAGAGGTGGCTTTAATCGTGGTGGACGAGGTGGCTTTGGACGGGGAGGTGGACGAGGAGGCTTCAACAGAGGCGGATATGACCAGGGGCCTCCAGAAAGGGTAGTTTGTAAGTTACGTGAAGAGATTATGTTTATTTAACTCAGAATGGCTGCTCCAGATCTTTAGCTTGTTTATTCTTTATTTCAGTATTGGGAGAGTTCATGCATCCATGTGAAGATGACATTGTTTGTAAATGTAAAACAGAAGAAAACAAGGTGCCTTATTTCAATGCCCCAGTCTACTTGGATAACAAGGAACAGATTGGCAAAGTGGATGAAATCTTCGGACAGCTGAGAGATTTTGTATCCTTCAAAAAAATGTGTGACATACAGTATTTGTTTTTTAAAGGCTGATTAATTATTAAATGGAATTTCCCTAGGATTTTAAAATGGTTCAAGGCTTGGCTACCAGTTAGGTGCAAGCAGTCTAGCTGCAATTGCTGGTGTCAGTAGGTGCCCTGTTCACATTAAATGCCTGTCTTAAAGCTTTTTCATTATGACAGTGTATCTTATGTCAGGTAGAGGTTTTCAGTCAGTACCAGTACTGGCAGACGTCTTTTGGATCCATGGTGGCTCAAGATGTTATGTTTTCTAGCCACCTGACCCAAATTTTCTGCTATTGCTTACTCATCTATAACAGAGTTGGATCAAGGGCATGTTTGGGGGGGGGTGTGTGTGTGTGTGCATTAGGGGACCTTGCTCATGTTTCATTTTGTTAATTATAAAAGTGAGTTTGTGCTAGGATGTCCTGTTGCTCATTGTCCAGCTTATTACTTAAACTGCC